TTTTTGTAAAGATATTTTTGTTTTTTTTGGGCAATTTATATAGCATGTGCCCTTGTGTTAATATGTATGTATGTATGCATGTATATATAGAGAGAGATATTTGGTTTTTAATCAATTGGGATGGGATTAATTTCACTCAAATCACAAATCACACAGCATTACTGGTCAAAGAAAAAACAAAAAATTGATCCTTGGAAACCTACTTGGATAACATTTGTGGTTGCAAAGAAGCAATAGTAATAAACTTATTCGTGTGAAAATAAATAAAGACTCTGCACTGGCCCAGTGGGCTGATAGGTCTGCAATGGGCCCTATTGAGAAAAAAGTTTAGCTAAACGCTTTAACTATTCAACGAGTTGTAGAACCAATGATGAGATTTCATGTCAATGATAAAAATTCATGAATCCACTGTAAAAATGCAGGCTCTATGCATATAAATACTGGCATGAAACGTCATCATTGGTTCCATAGCCTGCTGAACAACTAAAACGTTCAGCTAATTTGAATTCCCCATTGACATATTTCTGGTTTTTTTAGATTAAAAAAAAAAACTGTGAGATCATTCATTAAAATAATCTAAAGAAGAGTTCATAGACATACAGTGAGAGAAAAAAAAAGGACAGTTTCATGTCATGGGATTGAGGCACTGCAGAAGACGGGACGGGGCCCAATGGAATGGGCCCAATATTTGGCACTAACATAATAAACATTGGGTTTGGGCAGCACAGTGTTGGGCACTATTGGGACTTGGCAGTTGTCACACCACACACGAACACGAAGATAGGGACTGAAGGGCCACCGCTGGACGCTGGCTGCAGGCCCAGCACAGCCATTACCGTATGCCGTACGGGTGGACTCAAAATGAAATCCATTAGGAGACAAAGTAGTACGTTCTACGTACACGTTTTCCTGACTACTACTACTTTCCCTCCTCAATCCTCTTCCTCTTTCTTTTTAGACAAGTAGTAACCAATTTGTACCATTACGCTATGTTTGGTTTTAAGGAAAGAGTAGAGAAAGGAAGGAAAATGCAGGAAAACTTATATAAGATTTGTAAAAATTTTTCTTTATTTCCTTTTCTTTCCCTACTTTTTCCTTCAAACATAGCCTAATGAATCAGAATTTGCATTTTTTTTTCCTTTAATTTGTTTCTTGGTGCATTATATATACTAATACAAGTAGCATTTCAAATGAATGGAGCCTCGTTGTATAATTAATATATGCATTTTTGGCTAATGGTAATGGTGCACCACTTCTAAAATTGTAAATTGGATCAAGTAGCTCCAATCTTGGTAATTTGGATTAACTGATCATGATGTAGGCTGTGGGACCAATGATAATGCCCCAAACAGCCATGCCAATCATAAATCCTAAGGGTTATTTGATAATGGTTGATATTTGCTGGGACCCATTTGTTTTTTGATAAATTATTCATTCGAGTAGATTCATTTATACAAGTAAATGTTTTCTAAGAAAGAGTTACTCGGGTAATTGTATTTAACCATATTCTTTTATCTTTTATGTAAATAAGGCAATGACCATTTTAGCCATAAAAATCCATTATTATAAGGGCCATTTTTGTCCCATTCAAGTGTTGGCAACTTTCCCCCATGGTGGTAAAATTATTTACCCAGGTAAGTGATACCCAAGAAAATAAACTTTTCCTGATCCCTACATAAATCTGAAAAAAGAACATGGGATTTTTGGTCAATAGGGAATCAAAATCCCATTGACCAACTTTTCCCCTCTCAAAATCTAGAAAAAGAACGCCGCTTGAATTAAAAGGCTTATTGCTTTGCTTTTTTAGTTGGTAAATTAATTAAATAATAAATTTTTCAAGGGTAAAGTGATGTATCCGGCTTCAAGTTCAGCCATTAAAAAGCCCCACAACCATGCTAAAAGCTTATAGATCGCTAAAAGATAAACTTTTTAATTCAGCATATTCAGCTGTTATCCAACAGCCCTTGAATGAGAGATTGATTGCTTATGAGCAACATTCAATTAGGGCGGGAACCACAATGACTGCCATTGTGTTTTTCTAATTTGATCTCCAATCTTGTAACAATAACAATGAAAAAATACAACATCCCCATACTACGACCATGTTTAGGAGTGCTTATTGGAAACAAGTGCTTATTTGGGCGGGAACCACACCATTAAGCACTTATTGGTGTTTGGGACATAAATCTGACATAAGTGCTTATTTTAAAAATAAGGATTTTAAGTATTCATACAATAAGTACTTATTCAATTTTTTTCTCCCATAATTGTTCTTGGTGAATTTTTAGAATACCAATTATACCCTTTTACAAAAACAATTTTACAAAGACACTTTTATAAAAGTAATTTTATGGAAAGTATTTTTACGAAAGTAAAGTATTTTTTATGAAAGAACTTTTATAAAAACAATTTTATGAAAGCACTTTTATAAAAAGTATTTTACCGGAGTAGTTTTATGAAAACACTTGTAAAAGTACTTTTATAAAACTGCTTATAGGAGGATTTCTGATTTCTGATTTATATTTTCTTAAAAGTACTTTTACAAAAGTACTTATTAGAGGATTTCATAAAAGTACTTTTATAAAAGCACTTTTACAAAAGTGTTTTCATAAAAGCCCCGCAACACTTTTGTATTCACGTTGTAGGATTTCTGATTTATATTCACATTTACTTATTTAAGTGCTTATAGGAGAAAAAGACCACCAAATGTCTGATATAAAATAAGTACTTTTTTTTTTTAAATAGGCACTTGAAAAAATTAGATGCCAAATGCAAATAAATACTTATTCAAATAAGCATTTATTTTTAAACACTTATTTAATAAACACTTATTTTTAACATTAGCACTCTCATGGCCTAACCCATTTGGAGGATTGGGACTTGTAAGTAGGAGACCCAAAATTGGTAGGCCCTTAACTTAGTAATTTGGTGATAAAGCTATATAATACCCCTTTTCAAAATATCCTATGGATCATGCCTATAAAGCAATGATTTTAGACATCTTATATGAAGTAATTATTAATAAGTCACAGCCAGGAAACATGATTAAAATATTGAGAATATCTTACTTAATATACACCTGTGTGCTGTAATGTATGTATATTTGCATAATTTGTTTGGGTGTTAATCACAAAACCAATCCCAACTTAATTAACATACCCAAAAACAGCCCAGCCCTATAAAACTATTGTTTTTGATAATTAGACGCTTAAAGTACATACCAAATTGTTGACCTGGTGAACCCAATCACAATCTTAGTTGAGGGAACAATTAATCTCTAACCCACTATATTACAAATAATTGTTCACTCTGTCAACGACCCATCAACCTCAGCAACTGAACCGTTGGCCATTATTTATCCTGTTCAATGGAGTTTCTTATTTTGTAAATTTAATATCACAACTTGACCCGAATGAATGGACCACTGACCCGTTTGGGGTCGATTGGGTCAACCAAAATCAGTTCACAACTTGACCCTATTTTTGGCTTGATGGGACTATACAAATACAATGGAGGTAACCCATCCCCATCCCATGAACTCCCCTACTCCAATGACAACACAGGTACGTGCTACGAGTTCACATCTGCCTCCCATACAGTGCATCCCAAAAACACTCCATATATACATCTTAGCGTACATTGAGAACATCTCTCCTACTTGTGATTAGGAGATATTTTCAATAGACAGTTGGGGGTGTGCTGTGGGGCGCACGCAGATGTGAATACAAATCAGAAATCCTGCAACGTGCCACCATTGGTTGATCTACTATATTGGGTCCTACTCCTAAGTCCTACCCATAGGTAATACGGTAATACCTAGTTTGTTTGATTCAAATTTAAGTTTGAGGTTTTGGATTTACTATATTCGAGATGATTGATTCAAGGATTAATGGCAAAACAAATGTCAAGAGTTTGTAAAGAACAAATGTCAAAGGTTGATACCATATCTAATCTACCCTCCCAACACAACTTTATTTGGAATTCATTGCTTGGGCCTCAACAATGTACCGATTGACAAATAATGAACCAATTTGCAAGTAAGCAAGTACCTTAAACATTATGGTCCGACCACCACTTCTTTCTCAATTCTCAATTTCTCATTCATTTTCGTGACTCATAAAAAGAAAATATACTCTTGTTTAATTTTTACGTAAAATCCCATCAACAATGATGTACATTAACATCAGACATCAGTAGATAGTTAGATCATACTAAATAGATGTAATTCAATTAACACATTACTTTTTCTCTATTTCTCTTATATATATATATATTTGTCGTACTCAGTACCTTGTTACTAAAACAATTCACGTGAGATTGCAAAGGACGGAAGTAATTCGTCCAGACTCCAGACCCCTACCCACTCTTTCGCTCTCTCATTTTAGAATGATACAGTGGTACCGTACGTAACATGTGCCAATTGGGTGGGGGCCCATTACCCTACCCAAGAACCAAGATCTTCCCCTCTCCCAAATCCATCGCCCTTCTCTTTCTTTTTCTTTTTTTTTAATAAATAAATATACACCTTATTCAAAATTCCCACTGTTCGAGACCTGAGCAGCTGCCCAGTATTCTGTTTCTTCTTTCTCCATTTCAAACTGACCGTTGATCAGTCGCCCGTCTCCGTCTGTCCTCTCTGCGTCTGCGAGGATCCTGGATGGGGTCCACCAAAATGTGGACCCTTTACTTGACACATGACACATCATTCATTCAATTCATTGAGAAAAAAATTGAAGGGAATGAAATTAGTTAATTAAACATTTTCGAAAAAAAAAGAAATTAGTTAATTAAAATTAATTAAGATTTAGAATACGCTAATCAGAGAGTCACGAAAGAAAGAAGAAAAAACATTTTATCCTTTTCCCTTCCGATTGGAACAAGCAATCCTTCTCTCTCTCTCTCTCTCTCTCTCTCTCTCACCTTTTTTTTTTTTTTTCTGTAGAAAACATTACGTTACAAACGCCATTAGACTCGGTCTCTCTCTCTCGTCTCTGGTAGGGACTGGGGACCCCTTTTTATCGCCCGCTTTATTACCCTCCTTTTCAGTACTATCTTTCTGATTTCTAGGGTTTTTGGTTTTCATTTCTTTTTTTTTTTTTTTTTTTAACCCAAAACCACCAAATCCATTTCTTCTTCTTCGTCATCTGTGTGATTGAATTCCTGGTTGCAGATAATTTTTAGTTTCCGCAGCATCTCAATGACGACTTCTGTGAAGAACAACTTTTTACCCCCATCCATAATATCTAATCTACAAGACGTTCTAACTAGCAGAAAAGGTGGCGGCGACGAACAGTCCAAGAAGACCGACGAATCTACAGAACCTTCTTCCTCTTCTTCCCCTCCCTCCTCTTCCGATCAGGATTGCTCCAAACCTGTTGTGTTAGTCACTAATGCGGATGGAATCGATGCCCCGGGCCTTACCTTCCTGGTTGAGGCTCTGGTCCGACAAGGTCAATACAATGTTCATGTCTGCGCCCCCCAATCGTGGGTTCTCTTTTTCTCTCCATTTTTCTTCTTGTCATTTTATTTCTATCTGACCATATTGGGACGTTATCTGAGTTTGTTCATTTCTGTACTGCGGTGGCTTAGTGATAAATCTGTCTCCGGTCACTCGGTCACATTTTGCGAGACGCTTGCCGTGACTTCTGCTGAAATTAACGGGGCTACAGCTTACGAAGTTTCCGGTAATGCTGCATATATGCTTTCTTCCTTTCAAAGTTGTTTCGGCACTTTCTTAACTTGAACAGGGATTTGGGAGTTTTTCTTAAGAGTTACAGTTGTTGATAAGAATTGCTAAATTTTCTGGTTAATGGCTTTGAGATTTTGGATCATTACGTGCTTATTGCTATGTTTGTGCCCGTAAATATTTGGTAACTAAATGTGGTTTTGCTACCTATTGTATGTTTATAATCTCAATATCCTCTGGCTATCATTTATTTAATCAGGTACTCCTGCGGATTGTGTCTCCTTGGCTCTTTCAGGGGCGTTGTTTTCGTGGTCAAAACCTGCGCTGGTATGGATTCACATGTTTTTTGCTGTAGTTCGGTATCCACCAAGTCTTATGCAAAGGCCGCACATAAGTTATTTCTGTTTGATGTTCAGGTCATAAGCGGAATTAACAGGGGGTCAAGCTGTGGGCATCAAATGTAAGTAAATGCAGGATGCAATTCCTTTCATTTAATTATTGGATCTCTTACCTTCGTTACTACATTACTTACTGAAATTAAGCACAACGTTTAAAATCTGCTCATTAATTAATATCTCACTTTTTAATGAAATTCTATGGCCACTATTATCCATTAAGCACAACCTTCCCTTTATTCTTTGTCATGTCTTCATTGTTCTTCATTGATAGATAAACGATTCTCATTTTGGGAAATCCTACAGGTTCTATTCAGGATCCGTTGCTGGTGCTAGAGAGGCTTTGATCTGTGGTGTACCATCCCTCTCTATATCATTAAACTGGTTAGTGCATGCTTTGATGCTTCGTTTTGTTTTTGTTATTATAATATACAGTCGTCCTTACTACATTCCAGCATATATTTATTACATGGTTGTCTTGTAATCTTTTGCCAGGAAGAAGGATGAGAGCCGTGAAAGTGATTTCAAAGATGCGGTTGAGGTCTGTTTACCTTTGCTACATGCAGCCATAAGAGATGTTGAAAAGGGAGCTTTCCCCAAAAGTTGCTCACTGAATATTGAAATTCCCACTTCTCCTTCGACAAATAAGGTTTGCCTTTCTCAAGCATTTGATTTTTTTTTTAAGAAATGCATGTATTTTATGCAAGAGGGTACAAAGGGATGTAAAGGCCCTACAGGGCTATAGAAAAAGTTAGAGATCCTTTTTTTTCCAAACTAAAGTTATGAAGGTAACAAGTTGTCACTAAACAAAAAACCCCTTTCTAGCCCTGATCTAACAAGACGATTGGTAAAGAGTTGTGTGGAAAAGTGGAGAAAGTGGATAAAGTGTCCCATTAAATTTTGTCTCCTTTTAATCCAATAAGGTAAAAGTAGCACACTTTCTCCTTTTCTGTCCATCATTGTCAAGTATTGATTATTGAGTCAGTTTCTATTGGAGGTGGGGAGTAATGAAGTGTCATGAAGTTGACAGGGTGTAGGCAGTAGAATCTCATATTTGAATTTTCTGTTTAGGTTATAATGTTCCCTGTGAATCATGTGGTGGACAAACCTTCCTAGTGTTTTATGTTATCTTGAATTGTTACTGGCGAAGCTTATTTGGTTAAAAAGTTGGATACACAGTTCAATCATAGTGGTGATGCTTCAAAAGCTTTTGCTGATAATGTGGTCTAAGTTGAGAAGAAACATATGATGTTGATATCTATTTATTATTATCATTATTCTTGTTGTTGTTATTTGGTTCAGGGTGTTGGAGAGGCTATAAGAGTCCACTCAAGGTGACCAATATGATTGAAAAGGTGTAAGGGAGTTGTTATATGAGTGTATTGTTCCTGATCTCTAGGCAAGATAGGTTGAGAGATCTGTGCTTTTGGTTGTAGTAGCATAATTGTTTAAGATCTTGTGTCATAGGCCCAAAGTCTGTTCTGACCTGGCCCAGGCCTGGGCTATAGCCCTTAACATAGGTGCTAAGCCTGGTCTGGCCCTGCCTATGACCACTCCTATCTGTAGGCGATCTTTTCTGCACGTGACAAAACTATCTTAGTTCACTTCCCCTCATTTTGTCACCTAGTGGTGGTCGGCTAGCTGAATGCCTGAATCCTGTTTTGCCATTCCATTCTGTTTAATGCCATATCCATTGTTAAATTATGATGCTTAAATCAATTTTTACTACTTTGATCCATGTCCTTTTTGGTATACTTCTAACCCTTGTAATCCCTTCAACTTGCAAAAGATCACTTATTCTTATGGGTGCTGTAGATAGTCTTCTATGCACATGACCTGTGACCAAACCATCTTAGTTTATTTTCTCCACCACTCATTTTTTGGACATGTTATTTCTTGGCTGTCCAACACTACTCTATAGAGCATTGCTGGCTTTATAACAATTTCCTTTTAGCCTAAGTGGCATTCTCCTATCACATAAGACTCAAGCTACACCCCTACGCTTTGCCTGTCCTGCTCCAAGGTCACCTTGAGACATCTCTTGGTGTTCAATCCCAATTGTACTTCGATTTCTACTATTGTTATTAATTTTTTTTGAATGAGACTATTGTTATTAAATTTATATTGCATATATTCTGTTTTAGTCATACTTATTTTAAAACCTCTTGTTTCTAAGGAGTTGCTCACAAATCTAATTTTGTATTTGATCTATCTCTAGTTTCATCAATTAGTTCTGTCATTAGCAAACAACATAACATTGTCTATGTTTCCAAGAGTCTGTCCTGTATCTTTTTTTTTTTTTTTTCCCTGATGAGCAGAGCCTGTCCTGTATCTTGCAAATCACCTTACAATTACAGTACATGTGAGTCCCCACAAATCTATTTCTAAGTCTGAAATTTAAAGATTTAGCCGATCTCAACCCTTGTTGAACTGATAATAATACTGCCCTAGTTGCTGATAATAATAATGCCCTAGTTGCGAATACACAGGGTCTTGTGGTGTTTAGTTTTGCCCTTCTGTGATTTAGGAGCAAGGTCACTGACATGGCTTGTGATGCTACTGTTGGTTCAAAAGGAGAAAGGGTCCATTTGGGAGGGCAGAAGCTTTGATTGAGCTGTGTTGGAGAAGTCACCAAAAGAAGCTTGGACAGAAATCCATTTTTTTGTCTCTAGGAGAGCTATTTTAGGTTTTTTTTTTTGATTTTTCACCAGACATGACTTATAGGCTATCCAGGCAGGGCCCACCTTGTAAAGCCATAAGCTGCTACTTGAAAGTTGAAAGTTTCAAAGGCCTCCCAAACCACCAAATGGGCACAAAAAGTGTCTACATGAAAATATAAATCTCTTCTTTTTCTAGGCCACAGATGGTGGATCATGAGGGCAGAGCTCCTCTACATTGGCCTTCTCTGCTTCATGGACTAATATGGTAACTGAGGGTGATTGCTAGGTTGTAATTATTTTGCATCTTAATGGGTTGATGGCCCTTGGATCTTAATGCATTGATGCCCCTTGGACCCTAAGATACTTTATTAGAGAAGAAAGAGCATTGGCTTCCAACACGAATTGTGGGTTCAAGACCCAAAGGTTGGCTAAAGGATTTGCTAACTCATTACATAGGGACAGAGGTTAACAATGGTATGGTTATATTGGGGGGGGGGGTTCCAGCCCCAGGGTTGAACATATAAAAATGATTATAGTTTAAAATCATTCATATGACAGCTTTTTGCTGTTTCCATGTTATAGTTCCCCCCCTCTTTCCAAAACCTTTGAGATATTTGGTTTCACCATTTATTAGTGAGATCTAATTGCAGTAACTGATGAAAAAAGGAGATTGTTGTGAAAGAACTATGGTCTCCGTTCGCCAATCAATAGGTTCTTTTTCATCGTTCTCTCGTATCTATATTATGCTTGTATTTTTGTAGGGTTTCAAAGTAACACGACAGAGTTTCTGGAGGTCTGTTCCAACCTGGCAAGCTGTCTCAGCAAACAGAGCTGGGCACTTCATGTCCAACCAACAAAGCCTTGGCATGCAGCTCGCACAGCTCAGTCGAGATGCATCTGCAGCTGTGAGTATTTCCTGGAATACCATTGTGCCATGGTACTGAACCTCTGAGTTTAGTTTTTTTCAGCTCTTCAAATCTCATCATTATGTCCTTCACAGGGAGCAGCACGCCGCGTTAACACACAAAAGAAGAATGTGGAAATAGAATCAGTAGGGGTTGCTGGAAAACCTGATTCAGGACGAGCAGTGAAGAAATTTTTCCGTCTAGAGGTATATGATCATATTTGATGATTATATGAACATTTTAGAAACAGGGAAGATCAACATTGGTTTATGATTATTGTTTCTATTATATCAACATTTTAGAAACATGGAAGATCTCTTTCTCCATGCCTCTGTTTCCCGTTGCTTGGTATAAATATCAATCCTTGCGTTTGTGGGCCTTCTTTTTGTTACTTTTAGTTGGAGTTCCTATGGAGTTTGCTGAGTAGGTCTTTCTGTTAATGCAGTTCTTGGACAAGGAGCTAGAAGATATGGATGAAGATCTGGATTGTAGAGCGCTTAAAAATGGATTTGTGAGTTCAACTCTGTCGATTTTTCTTCCTTTTAACTTTTTTTGCACAATGGATATAGCTAAGTCTCTCTCTCTCTCTCTCTCTCTCTCTCTCTCTTTCTTATAAAATAGGTGGCAATTACTCCCTTGTGTTTATCATCACATGTTGAGCCTGAAACTCAAGCATCCGCCTCTGACTGGATTGCTACTGCTACTGTGAGTGAACAGTGAGCTTCCTCAGATTGACGTGGTCCGTAATTTGTGTACATTTGAAGATGGACGGCCCTGTTGATCAATTACCAATTCAACTTGCAAATGGTTATGGTTTGTGTTTTTTTTTTTTTTCTTTTTCATTTTTTTTTTGTATTTTATGAAGCCGAAGCTTCCTCTTAAATTTTAACTTAAAAAGGTTGGCATGCTGTGGTCACCATGCCCGGTCTATTCAGTTTCAATTGAAACAAGCGTGTAACTTTTTTCTTATTTATTATATATCTTATTTATTTTTATCTGGATGGGTTGAGTTGGTTTGCTTTTCTAGTTTTTTTTTTTGGATATGGCGGGGTCTGTGTTAACGAATTGAAATCAAGTGTTGCCTTTATGGCATGCTTTGTGTACTTCTTTGGTTTCTTAAAACGAGTTCCTTTCATTCCTCTTAAAACTCACAAACGGCTGGGCTAAAAGAGTCCACGTTCATTTCCTTTGTTTTCTTCCTTCCTGGATCAATGCATTGCATTTATAATTGCTTCTTCTGTTCTGTTCATTCTGTTCTCTTCTGAGGCTTATACCATTTACTTGTGAGTTTAGGCTTATACCATCATTCATGACCAGGACATGGATCCCAATGTTTTAGTTATTGGGCATGATCACATTGTAATTGAATCCATCACTTTACCAATCTAATGACCTAAATTGTTATATGTAGGCCTTTTTTTTTGCACTGCATTTCATTCGTAACCGGTGCAAAAGCATGGGAGTGTGGAATTCTATTTTGTTATTGATTTAGCTTTTACATTGGTTTGCACTTTGCAGTGTGGATTAAGGGTAAAAAATAGAATGAACTTGATGTAAAATTGAAGCAGTAACAAGGTTTCATGTATAAACATGATATGCTTGGTACGTATTGGTTTTCAGGGTCATCTGCTGTATGCAAAAATAGAGGATTTAGGTGATTTTACTCTTTTGAAATGTTAAAAAGATGTGACAGGACTTCCCTCTGATTATGAAATTAAAAAGTTAAATGGAGTTTGGATCAACAAAAATTCTTGATATACTTTGAGCCTTGACCAGAACTTGTAGTCTTGTCATTTTCATATTCATGCATTCGTACTTGTTAACTGGTTTCGTTCTCAACTTTCTCGTTTTGAAATAAAAAGAAGTTGGAAGGCGGATTAATCAGGTCAGATCTGGTTCTGGTCTACAGAACCCTGGTCTGGGTCAGAAGGTTCTCACTTTGGCACCAACAGTACGATTAGGCAGCCCCAACTCCTCTTGTTGGTTGCTATACAAATTACAGATAACAACTACAAATCGAAAGTTGAGAATTTGCGAGTGCTATCGCCTATCGCCATAGGATAGGAGTATGGGGACTGGGAGTCCCACCATGGAGCCCTTAGATCCTGTAATGTAAACCCAAAATCCTGAACACTCCCATCTCCCATAAGCCAAAGCTACCTCTTGTATGAATTATCATGTATCACAGGCACAGCTCAACCCAGTCTCTCCATCATATTGATTCCATGATTCACAACGTTATATATATTCTCTTCTTTACTCGACATCCAAAACTAGACTAGAGTACTTGAATTCTGACGAAGATAGCCATGAACATGATCCATGGGCAATCTAGTCCCAACAACCGGTCGGTCTGAAGAACCATTGTAGCTGTGCATTGGGAACATCTCCCTTGTCATTCGTGGCAAGATGTTCCTGACGTACAGATGCAACGGCTCTTGGGACGGTTGTTGGGACCGTCCATGCGGATTCTCAATGTATGGCTGCAATGGCTTGTTGGGACGTTATTGAGACTGTGTATTGGGACTAGATTTCTTCTTGCTTTGATGGGGTTACTGACTAGTGACTACTACACAATGGGGATAACACTAACCCCGTCCCCCTACCCATAACGGCATAACCACCCAGTGAGCCAGTGACCTTACCAATACCAACTGATCGTTCACGGTTGGCACCGTCCATATGGATTGTGTTTCTACTGAGCCCAAGTCACAAAAGACGTACTGGATTGGGCTTGTCACGTATCTATCTCTATACAACAAGGTAAAGCCCAAGCTGGCCCATGTATTTTCTATTTCTCAACCACAACGGGAACCGTTATGGTCTGTTAAACCAGTTAAAAAAATACTCCAAAAACTAGCAGTTGGACCTGGACCGTAGGTTCTGCAGTTTCCTTTCATCCGCCTTAGGGTTTAATGGTACAACAGATTTTGAAGAAAAATGTCTTCCAAAACCTTAGCTCGGACTGGCGCTTCTCTGTTCACTCGCTTCCTCAATCCATTGCTTCACCAGAAACCAAGTTCAACTCACAGCCTCGTCGTCCAGAGCTCTGAAATATGCCCACAACTGTGTCCATCTTTTTCCAAGTTCCAGGCCTCTCTCCATTTGCGGGAAAGCAGCGATGCAACCCCACAAAAGGTAGCTTCTGAAAGTTTTTTGTATCCATGCGGCCTTCCTTCACTACGATTTTTCTTACCGGACGGTAATCCTTCATTCTCTTTGTCGCCTTTTATTTTCCTGTCTGTGATTTTTTTTTTTTTTTCATTTGGAGATTTGAAACATTGCTGTCCTCCATTCGATTTATTTTATTAGGTATTTGCCTCAAGACGTGGGATTCGATTACGTTTTAACTGTTTTTACCGAAACCCAGATTTTTATTTCAACTCTTTGTTGGTTCTGAGAAGCACCGGACTCCAGAGATGGGAAATAATTCTCTTTATTTCTAAAGTTGTTGGTTGAATACATAGGGTTGTACTTCAATAATTTCAAGTACTGTGAAGCATATCGTGAAAGGGAAAGGGAAAAAAAAGAAACCTTTTTCTTCGCAGTTTTGATATAATATCATAGAGAGAAAAAGGGTATAGCATTGTTGAAACAGACTTATGAGAATTCATAGAATGACATTGCATTGAACTGTTGTGGATGAGTAACGATGATTCATTGTTTGGGCAGTAATTTTAGGTGGATTGTTTTATAAAATCGTATCATACTAAATCTTCTTGCCTATATTTTTGAGGTGTGTTTTGCTTTTCTTTGTTCAAATTAAGATTCGTAATCCTAACTTTCCTGCTTAATAAACTGACACTTCTTATATTATTTATGAAAAAGAAGGAAGAAACCATGCTATTTGTTGGGTTTGAAGCTCACCGATTATTTTTTAGTAATAAAAATAAAATTTATTAAAAGAAAAGAGAAGATAGAAGAAAGGTGACGAGAAGTCACCCAAAAGAAAAAATAAAAAAACTTTTTACCCACCACAAATCACAACTCCAATACTCAACATTACAAACAAAATTGAAAAATATCACAGAGGGAAAACAAGGGTATTGCATTGTTGAAATGACTTCTGAGAATTTACAGTATGGCATTGTATTGAACTATTGTGGATGAGTGGTGATGATTCATGGTTGTTGGACCATAATTTTATGTGCGATGTTTTATAAAATTGTATCATACTAAGCTAAGTAAGCCATTTAGCATCTTGTGGCATATATTTTTTGAAGTGCATTTTCCTTTTCCTTTTTCCAAATTAAGATTCATAATCCTAATTTTCCTCCTTAATGAACAAAAACCCGTGGCATAATCCTAATTTTCATAATCTATCAAAAAAAGAAAGATTTGTAATCCTGGTTAATGAACAGAAAATTTGTGACATTATTTTTGAAAAAGAAAGACAGACAACTATACTATTTGTTGGGGTTGCAGCTTACTGGTTAATACAAAAGATGAAGAACATTACGAAACTTAAAAATTGAATGCTTGAGATAAGGCATGGATAACTATTGGCCATATGAAAACTATCTTAATGGTTGCTAATTACCATTCCTGGTGACTTATCTGCATAAATAGGGGGTTGTGCCCAATGTGATGGTTGACAGAGTATAACAGTAAGGAATCCTCTCTTGGAATGTGATACTGTGAGAAACTTGGTGGAAGCACTCCCTGGGAGGAGCAGAGGAGACAGATGGAAGCTAGAGGTTGCTGCATGCTGGAAGTGGTGATAGGTAGGTGGTGTTACAATCAAATTCAGGGGGCTTCAGTGATAAGTTGTACCAGGTCTGCAGGATGTTGAGGACTGAAAATGCTTTTGTTTTCTTGTCTTCTTGCTTATTGTTTATGTTTTCTGTTTTTGACTGCTGCTGCAGCTTCTACTCTCTACCTATTGGACCAACATTTCAAAATAGTTTTAAATGATGGTGACTCTTTTCTTGTTTGTTGATTAACAAAAGTTGATGGGGTGACTCTGAACAAAACATCCGGAGAGTTTATGGAAGAATTTGGTCATTATGGAGGAGGTTTACTCAATAGTAACTTGGTAAGGAATGTAGGTGGTTGATGTAAGGATGCATTATCAGAGTGGTGCATTGAATTCATTGAATGGGGAGATTGGACGGGAAATGATAATGATGTGTATATGAGTTCTTTGGCCTGGGGAATATGTTTCAAGGTATACACATGAGTTATTTGGTTAGAAATAAGCCCTACTATAGTACGAGGGAAGGGATTTGGGTTACCAGTGTCATAAGTTTCAATTAAGAGTCATAATAAAACCTGTCAAGTGATTTACAAAAGGGAGCATAGAAAGAGGAATCAATTACAATTCAATTCTAATAATAATATGCAGTCTGATTTGTACCCACTGATAAATTGGTGCAAGAGCAAGCATGTTAAAACTGGAAATTTCTGAATTTTTATGTATTTTCAGTTATTAGGCATATTTTGTTCATTTTATATGTCGTCAGTGGGGTCAGGCCTTAGAGTTTGATTTTTCCAGTCACAGTTGTGTTTAAATTTCAGTCATTGGTTAACTCATTTAAGAAAGTAAGTTCACATAACTAGATGTGCCTACTGATAGAAAACCATAAGCATATACCTCTTTTAGTTTTCCTTTATATTTTTCATCAACACACTTTTGCTGCCATTGGCCTTTCTTTGTAAATGCTGCTGATCTCTCCTTTTCCTTGTTCTCTTCTTCAAACATACTGTAATGATAATTAGGTCAAGTAGGCTAGGTCACTAATAGCATTGGGGAACTTTTTGTTTTGTTGGATTAGAAGATCAGCAAACAATCTCACCGATCAGGAAAAAAGAATCAGCAAACAATCTGGCAGATTTGTTGTCAGGGTCTGGGGTTACAAGGGAAGGGATGTACTTGGAAATAACACTTCCAGGGTAAAGAATTAAGGGTACATGGTGGGGGGGGATCTGCAATATGCCCTTGAAGGGCATGGAATTGGTATCTACAATATAGATTAGTACCTCAGTATGTATTACAATCAAATGATCAATAAAAGTTTTCAGTTACCAATAAGAGAAGGTCAAGCAACTTCCCTAATCTCTATTTTTGTCACACTGAGGACAGTGTCACTGAGCTTAACTATTCATCAAGTTGTTGATTGTTTGGATTTTCCAAGTGTCGAATCCCCCAGTCCTATGCTTTTGAAAGGCATGCCTTGCCCTGCATAGGCTCAAAGGTATGGCTCAATTTGTAGGGTGTTTCACCTGAACCTAGGTGTGCCTCACTTCATGTTGCTATACTTTGATTAATTGAATTTGATGCTTTAATAGATAAGTTACTATATTATAAGTTGTAGTTTGATTTTAGAGTCTAACATTAAGCCCATGTAGGAATAGAACCTGCATGGCCACAACCTTTATTACACTAACCAATTAAACTTACAGGTTTTATTTCTTTCAGAATTTGGGTCTGCATTTTAATTTTCCATAAATCACTTCATTAAGGTATTTGCCTCAGCATGTTAATCATGCCTCAGGCTCTAGAAACCCCTCCTGCTTTAGTTGCATTTCTTGCTTTTGATTTAGTCCCTTGTTCCATGTTGACCCTATACCTCACTTTGTTTTTGCCTTCAAGTGATATTAGCTGCCCAATGTTAAAACTTTTTATATTTGAAAACTAACCTAATGGTCAACGTCTTTTTGGAAACAGGGCTAAGGCTTTGAGTTTGAAGCTGAAATCTCTGCTATGAATAGAGGGTGAAGAGGTGAATATGCTTGGACCTTTTGGGCTCAACATCATACACTCTCTTTGCCCACTATATATAAAGAATTCTAAAGCAAGCCTTTTCCTGTTTTTAGTGCCTATGTGGTCAAGGCATTGCCTAGTTAACATCTCAGAAGTGCAAGCTTGTTCCTTGACTTAAAATCTCCAAGTCTAGACATAGCACAACTGGGTCCCCATAGGGTACTTGTTTGCTTAGGGAACTGCCTTGAAAATGCTTTTCTATTCCTTCATTTGACACAAATGGAGGCAGTTAGTTGCATCCTGTCCTTATTTTTTAAGGATTGTTTTGCCATCCCATTTAATGGTTTTGTATTTGATTCCCTTCTTACATTACATCTGAATTTAATTTGTGCTCAAAGTACATGTTACATTAAATTTAATTATTGCACCATATGATATGACTAAATTATTCTCCTAAATTTTGTATCTACGATTTTGTCTTCAAATTAAATAAAGTACTAAGTTGTCTTATTTTTAACATAACCTATTAGATTTTGACGCTCCACACTTTTGCTCAACCTACTATTAGCGGATAACTGTGATTGAAGATAAATTTTGAAGAAAGTAAGTCAAGAGGCCCTCCACTTGCCTAGCATGCAAGGGCTTCACTAATACAAAAATAAGAAGGGCAAAAGCTGAAGTATAGTTCAGAGACCCAAGATGGATATATGTAACTTTATAGAAAGAAAAAGAAGATGTACTAGTAGTATCTTTTACTACATAATGCCTTGGGCTCACATCTAGACAACCACCCCAAAACTTTATTCCATCTATTTCCCCTCTCATCCTCCCTCCCCCACCTCTTGCATGTGCAAAAGCACAGGCCACTCAACTAGTATTATATAAACCAACTTTTTAAAAAACAACCCGGAATCGGAACCGTTCTGGCCACCGGTTTCTGGGTCGACGGTCCGACCATCTGGTTCAAATGGATGGCCCATTCTGACAAACAAATTAAAAGATTAAAAAAATGGTAAAAAACCGTTGAATGGGTCGACGGGTCGACGGTTCGATCGGTCGACCGCCCGGGTCAATGGACTGCTTGCTTTTTCAACGGTTTTTGGCCAAAAACCGGGTTTGGGGTAAAACGGAACCGGTTGCCTGGATGGTTCCCGGGCCAAACGGTCCGACTGTCCGGGTCAACGACGGTTCGGAAACCTTGATATAAACTGGCTCTGTGATGTTGAAATGTTTACAAGATAGATGTGTTTTTTACAGCATTATAAAGGCCAGGTTTTAAACATTTATTTTAAAATTAATTCAATTATTACTTTATACTCTGGCCAGAGAAAGGCAACCAGGACAAAGGTTGTAGACTTGTAGGTTAGTCCTTCCTGACTAGTGCTTGACTAAACTATAGATCATGGTTTGATGGATATACTCATATTTTGAACTGATCTGAACCTAAAAATCAGTGGTTCAAGCTTTCAGGCAAGAATTAAACAGAAGCAAACAAGTCATTCAAAAGGGCCAGAAGCTGGGTGAATCACATTGATGCAAAATCAAAACTTTATATTTTGCAGCTTACAAAGCAACCAGTTGAAGTAAAATTCTGGTTGCTTATGTTTACATTATGCAGAATGATCAAGAGTTTCTATCTTCAATTGTCCATCCCCTTCATGTTTACTCATGTTGCCTTTGACACTTCTGATCTTGTGGTTCTCAATTAGTGTTTGTAGCTTAAGTTTGTGCACATTGTGTTGTTTAGGGGATGTTCCTTCAAGGGAACCGATGCTCTTACTTCCCAAGCGAACGTATCAACCCAGCCACATCAAGCGTAAGAGAACCCATGGATTCTTTGCTCGGTAAATATTTTTCCTTTCATCTCTATCATATGTATCTTTGCAAGTAAAATGACAATCCTGTAACTGATGTTCTTGCTGTTTATAAACAGCAAGGAGACTAAGGGTGGACGGAAAGTGATTGCTAGGAGGATTGCAAAAGGTCGAGCAAGAATCACGCCATGAGAACAAGCCAACTTTCTTGACAACACATTCACATTCTCTATTCATAAGGCCAGAAGAAGCCTGTTTCTTTTTGTAGTGTCTCAGCTTATACTTCAATGCTTCCAAGGAATGTGCTTAATTAGATAAGATAACCTTGCTTTTTTTGTTTTTTTTTTTCCTGGGTGTTTGATTAGACATTGCAAGAATTCCTTTACCCTTTATCCTTGGAATTTGTCCAAATAACTAGGGCATCATGTTTAATCGTTTATGATTCTGGTGGAAGTTTTTCCCTACCCGGGATCATCAAAATCTTGATATAGTGAGCCTAGTCTGTTACTTGGATATCAATGTGGGTGGTTGAATGCTGATGAATTTGATTCGCGATCAGGATTTCCTAGTGGATGGTAGTTGGTAATCAACCTGACTGGGTCTGTGGCGATTGTATGTGCCACCAAATATTGATATATAAGCTCTGGTCTGAATTTGGTGTCCTTCAATACCACATTGGGTCGTAGGAATGACTTGACATGACAGCACGCTCTCAACCAATCGAGGACTGGCTCGTTGGTGTGTTGGCTGTGTTATCCCAACATCGACGTGGAATCAAATCCCACGACCAGCACTTTGAAAAAAGAAAGGGGTAAAGGGGAAAGTGAAAGGTAAAGGGTAATGAAAAACTCTGATTTTTTTGAGTAAATTACAAAAAACCCTCTGTAATAGCAAAGACTCTCCTATACTTTAATTTGCAACAAAGAACTCCTTTTCACTGATATTCCGTCAATTAACTTCAAAAAATATTTTCATTCAGTTATTTTAATTTTTTTAAATCCCTAAATTACCCTTTCCAGCAAATTAGCTTGGTAAGACTAACGGTGTCAGCTCTCAGCATGGCCGACAAGGAAGGGAAGAGAGGCACCGCCAGCAAAAGACGTAAAAAGAAAATTCGAGACCACAAGCATCTCTCCCCACTCATTTCTCTCATGGCCTCTGCTATCACCACCGCCTACTCATCTTTTCCGGTTGGCTCACGCCGCTCCATTCAAGTCTCTTGAGAGGCGATTTGGTCTTGACTCAGTTGGTTCCTATCGTGCTTTCTACATGGTCTGTAAGTTGGTGAGCAATCAGCTTCCTTATTTGCTTGAATTAACCTCTGGTTTTAAGAGAACTACTGAAGGTTTTAGTTGGATTTTTCTCCCCAATTGTTGTGGCGTTCTGGGCTTCAATAAATTTCATATGTAAATGGGTTAGGGAAGGATGGGGCCATTATTGCACATGTGTTGGTGGATTCTGAAGGTAGGTTCTTGGACATTTCTGCTAGTTGGCCAATTTCAATGAATCCATGCACCATTTTACGCCAGACGAAATTCTTTTTGTAGGTTGAGGAATCCAAGGAACTGTTGAATGGAACTCCCACTAAGCTGAGTGAGGGCAATTTGGTTCCTCAATATGTATTGGGGGGCTCTTTCTGTCCTCTTTTACCTTGGGTTATCACACCTTTCAGCAAGCCACGCAAGGATGACGGAGACGGTTCAAATTCTATGAAAGTGGCATTTAATTCTGCTCATAATCACATAATGAAATTGGTTAGCTTGCGAGGGTGAGGGCACGCTGGCGGCTTCTTTCTGTGAATTCGAAGAAAAATGCACCGAGTCCTTCCCATTTGTTATTTATTACGGATTATCTACTGCATACTTTTCTTGCCAAGCAGAGTGAGCTGCTACCAGATGAAACTGAGGATTATTTGATGGAACAGAACTTTCCTCTGTTTGATGGGAAGGGAAATGAAAGTGGAGAAAGGGTCAGAGCTACACTTGTTTCACACTTGAGTCTTGTAAGCCACTGGAGAAAGGGTCAGAGCTGCACTTTTCCTACTGATTTGAGGTTGTCTATGTGAATTCTGAGTTCAACAACAGTTATATTTACGTTATCATTAAAAGAAAAACACGAGTATACAAGTATTTTTGAGTCACCAATAAATTTGCCGCAGATTGTTTCCTTTTCTGTGATGATTAAAGGTTTTTTTTTTGGGTTTTTGGCGACCATTAAAGGTATTTTTAAGCCTGTTAGATATTAAGAGAAAATGGCAAGAAAAAGAAAATAGAGAAAGTTTAGTGGGGTATTTTGATAATTTAATGTCTTTCATGATTTGACTATATGGCTGAGAGGGTATTTGTCACGATATAAAAGTTCAGGGGGTCTTTGCCGCAAATTAAAGTATAGAGAGGTCTTTGTCACTGACCCTATAGTACAAGGGGGTCTTTGTAATTTACCCCCTTTTTTTTTGTCAAAATTTTAGCCAGTGAATGTGACGAGCACATTTTAGGCCAAGGTCCAAAGTATCCAAAATGCAAGGTGTATAGGGAAGACAATTTTAAGAGAGATGTATCAGGTACGTTTTGGATATGTATGGATACAGCCATACAGACGAAAAATCAAGATGTGCGTAAATATGTTAAGAAATTTAAATAAATCATAAAAAATATATTATTAATAATACTTATAAGTTTTATATGATTATAAATAAGTCATTTAAATGTAAAAATCATAATTTAATGTTTATATAAAATGTGACATAGCGAGATGTAATTAGTAACCATTAAAAAATGATGGAATAACTAAAATGTAAAAAAAAACTAAAACGTGAATGTATATACATCAATTTTCAAATAACCAATATAATTATCTTAATATTTATTAGTATATAAACTTTAGAAATTAATTTCAACATTTATTAATAACCACTTCTAAGAGAAGAGAAAATTGATTTAAAACAAAAAAATGCATATAATTACAACAAACAAATAGGAGTGGTTTAGACTTTAGTGGCGAAATTATGGGCATTAAAATCTAGTGACTAGGCTTCGTATTGTTAATATTTTTTGTTTTTACACTAACAAAATGAAATTAATGAAAGAGAGTTGATGTAACCGTTTTTGGTCATGTACCATTTTTTGGGATGTGTAAAATTTTTTGGCTAAGTACCTCGTGTTTGACCTGGTGGTGACGTGCCTTGGTGATGAGCTACTTGGTGGCGAACTTCCCGGTGGCGAACTGCCTGGTGA